GCATTCCTGCCTTAAAAGAAGGGAACCACATACAAGAGACATACATTTATCTAACTTTTATTTTGAAAGCACCCAAAGCTCAAAGAGCAGAAAGCAGACATAGCTGAGGCAGTGAGTCATTATCTTTTGACCAAAGAGCCAGACGACTAAGCCTTGGTCTATCAAAGTGGTTAAAATTTAAGAGGGGAATCTCATAAAAGAGAGAACCACAGAGCACAGAAGGCCAAAATATGCAAGTGTTCACTCAACTCCTTCACAGACTCCTTAAGGTGCAGATGTGGGCTAAGACTCCAAGAAACTGAGAAAAAACAGCTAACGCTGAGCAGATTTGAGAAGCTATAAGAGGGAACAGTTTAAAAATGGAGTCTCTCCAAATTAAAAGAGCTTGGTAAATATCTCAGGAATGTCCATGAAACCTCAAAAATGCCATGCCTTAGGAGTAAAAACCTATAATAGCTTTCCCATCACTGAGATATGATATCTGAGACCCACAATTCAAAGGAGAGTTTTAATTTTACTAATGGTTTAAGGGATTCAGTTCATGATAAGCTGGCTCAAAGGCAAAAACATGATAAAAGAGTGTCATCACGCAAAGACACTTAGTTCGTGGTGACTGCAAAGCCCAGCAGGAGAATAGTGCCAGAGATAAACGTGTGACCTCAACGCCACACCTCTATGATCCACCCAGACACATCCAGAAGTATGCATCACTAATCCCACTGGCAGCTCCCAAGCCAATCAAGTTGACAATCCACCTTAACTGTCACAAAAATCATACCTGAGAACTAAAAGATTTTTCCCCAGGACCAAGGCCAAAAGCAAAATAAATCTTCCTATGAAAGCTAAAATCAAGCCTCTGTAAAATAGCTAAGCAATTTACCAATAACTTAACTGCTTTCTCAGCAAAGAATAACAGAACCCAATATCTCTACAAAGAATCAATCTCTTGCCTTACGATGTCCACAACACAATAAAAACATACTTAACATACAAATAAACAGGAAAGTGTGACTCATGATGAAGAGTAAAAACAGTTAATAGAAACATACCAGTTAATAGAAACATAACTATAGATGATCCAGACATTGAAATAGACAAACAAAAACTGAAACATGTTTTTAAAAATCTATAAGGAAGAGGGGCTGGGGATTTAGCTCAGCGGCAAAGCGCCTGCCTGGCAAGCGCAAGGTCGTGAGTTCGGTTCCTGGTACCGGAGAAAAACCAAAAACAAAACAAAACAAAAAAAATCTATAAGGAAGAAATGGCAGAGTGGTGAACAGCAGAGAAATAGCCTCTCTGAGACTTGGTGTCCAGGCGTTGGAATATAGCAATGTAAGGAAGAGAAGGAGGAGAAAAGTGGGTCCTGCAGACCCAGCAAAGATCTAAAGCAAGAGTTAAAGCCCACAGGGAGAGTGAAGAAACAGACCTCAAGGCAGAAAAAGTAAGTGGCAAGAAGTACTTGCCCTATGCTCTGGCTTACTGTATAGGAGGACTAAAACCTGCACACTCATGGTTGCCTACCAGCAGCCCCAGAAGCCTCCACTGAAAAATGCACCAGCAGAATAGAGCAGTGGATGGATACAGTGGGCTGCAGTGGCTGGTGAGTTATTCAGATTCAGATCTCCCCGGGGAGAGGGCGACTGGCCAGTTGCCATTCCGGAAAGGAGCCAACTGAGCTTGGAACTCAAAGCAGCTATGGGTTAACTCGATCTAGTGGCTCCCAGTGTCAGCTGCGAAGCTGCTGAGTTCAAGATGGCAGGAGGTCAAAGAGCTGAGTTCAGGCTGGCAGGGAGACAAGGTCAACCAGGCAGGAGACACATGGAATGTTGCTGACTGAACAACTCAGGTTGAAACCGGCCTGTACTTCAGTGGAACTAAATGGTGCAGGCTTGCAGGGATTATCCACTATCCCATCAAAAATCTACTACTGGGATTAATCAACACAGATCTGGGCTCTGCCTGCCCACTCTGTCTACCAGTGACAACAGAGACATGCCCTGAAGTGTACATTTATTTTTCACTTCTTTCCTTTCTTTTTTTTTTGGGGGGGGGGGGCTTTTTTCCTTTTTTCTGGATTGCTTGTTCTTGTTTTTATATACGTGTAAACACTGCTTGTAATTTTTTTCTTCTGTTTTTGTTTTTATTTCTCATTCTCTCTTTCCTGTGTTTTCACCAGTTTCCCAAAATTTACGTATTCTTCCTTTGTCTCCTAGTATTGCTTCTAATCTCTTTCTTTTCTTCTATCTCTCTATTTTTCCCTAACCCCTACTAAATTTTCTGCCTTGAGGGTAAAATCACCATACTTACTGCATACAATCTTCTGGCTTGTTTTAGATTTTATTATATAACTAAAATCTAGTTCATATGGTTAAAGGTGGCAAACTAATACCTACCACACTTTGTCATATCAATCAATACATATCACTCAATAAATATGTTACATACCATCAATGTAAATGGTCCCAACTCACTAATACAAGAAACAGACTGGCAGAACAGATCAAGAAGCAAGATCTAACAACATGCAGCATACAAGAAACACATTCAATTCAAAAAGAAATTCAAACTGAAAGTCAAACAATGGAAAAGAATTCTTCAATAGGAACTGGAAAAAAGCAGGGGTAACTATTCTATTTGCAAACAAAGTGGATATCAAGCCAAGACTGATTGAGAGACAAAAGTCACTACATCCTTGAAAGAGAAAAATCTAAGAAAAGCGGTAACAATCATAAATATATATTTACCAAAAAACAGTGCACCCAACTATACAAAACAAATATTAACAAACATGAAAAGCTCAATAAGCACTAATACAATTGTAATGTCTCATGATAAAAAATTCTCCAGAAAATTGAAACAGGTGGTCTTTATCTCAATCAGACAGAAGCTGTCTATAACAAAACAATAGCCAACATCATACTAAATGGACCAAAACTAAAAAGTTTCACTCTAAAACATTAGCCAGAACAATTAGACAAGAGAAACAAAGAAAAGGAATAAGAATAGGAAAGGAAGAAGTTAAATTATCATTATTTGTGGATGACATGATACTCTACATGGAAAACCCCAAAAACTCCACCAAGACTTTGACATTTAATAACCAAATTTGGTAGCATAGTAGGATACAAAATCAACACTTAAAAATCAATAGCCTTCCTGTACACAAATAACAAACTCACTGAGAGAGAAATTAGGAAAATAACACCTTTCACAATAGCACCCCAAAAAATGAAATATCTAGGAATTACCCTAATGAAGGAAGTAAAGACTTACACATTGAAAACTACAGTACTCTGAAAAAGGAGATCCAACAGGGTATCAGAGATAGATATCCCTTACTCTTGGGTAGGAAAAACCAATATAGTGAAAATAACCACACTTTCCAAACTCTTATACAAAATTAATGCAATCCCAATCAAAATACCAATAGCGTACCTCACAGAACCAGAGAAAACAATTCTAAAGTTCATTAGGAACCAGAAGAGACCCAGAATAGCAAAAGCAATTCAGAACAACAAAGGCAAAACAGTGGGCATCACAATACCTGACTTGAAATTATGCTACAAAACTACAATGATAAAAACAGCATGATACTGCAAAAAAAAAAAAGACCCAAAGATAAATGGAACAGATTAGAAGATATAGAAACAACTCCAGACATACCAAGCCACCTTAGCTTTCACAAAGGAGCCAAATACCTGCACTGAAAAAAAGATACCATCTTTAATAAAGAGTACTGGGAAAACTGACTTTCCATGCACTGAAGATTAAAACTACACCCATATCTTTCATCATGCACTAAATTAAAATTGAAATGGTTCAAAGATCTAAATATTAAAATAGAAACATTAAATCTGGTAGAAGACAGAATAGGTAAAACTCTTGAAGATACAGGTGTAGGCAACAACTTTATGAACAAAACCTATATCATATAGGAAAAATCACAAAGAATCAACAACTGGGATCTCATCTTATTTAAAAGCTTTTGCACAGCAAAAGAAATCACCAACAGACTGAAGAGACAACCCAAAGAGTGGGAAAATATTTTGCCAGCTGTTTCTCAGACAAAGGACTAAAATCTAGAATATATAAAGAACTTCAAAACATCAGACTCCCCAAATTTAACAGAATAATATTCCCTCAAGTAATAATTAAAGTGTCATATTAAATTAGAAGTACAGATATTCATGAAATTCTCAAGACCTATTTAGTTTCTAGTTATTTTAACTGAAGGTAAGGCTTTAACATGATTTTAAGCGTTGTTTTTGGTTGTCTTATGACTCTGCACCTAGATAACTACATGCCTTTAGATTATAGTACAATTTTCATTTTCATTTCAAATCAGTGGTAGAAGTAATTGTAACAAGTAAGTGTTCTCAACTGGAATGAGGGAAAGGAGAAAAGAAAAAAAGAAAGGAAAAATATACATATATACACAAGATAGCTTTAAAAAATTGTACTACTAATTTTTACTGGTTTATTGAAAGGAACAGCTAATGCTTAATTTTTTGATCAATTTTGCATGCCTATATCTGGTAATCTGAACAACTTCTTTGAAGATAACAACAAGCAATATAACAACCATTGTTGATTTCCTATCATCTTGTTTTGAAATTCTGTATCATTTTTAATGTATTTTATTTTTTTATTCTTTAAAACAAATAAAAATAAAAATAATTACCAGAAAAAAATGTGCTCTCTCAGAGTTGTAAATGATAGGTTACATTTGCACTATCAGACTTAAAATGCACATAAAAGGATCAAAATGAATATACAGCGGAAAAAGTGGCTTAATTAGGTAAATTAAAATACTGTATTAATGATTATGGAAGAATCCAACAGTATAGCAATGACTCATATAAACACCAATACGGAAGAGAAAGTAACCTTTGTGCTACTTACAAATAGGGGACCTTTGCCCATTTGACTTTAGATACAAAAAGCTAGTTAATGTTTGGATAAATGAATACCAATGTTAGTGATCAGCAGTGTGGACTCACCTTATAAAAACTCCTCCTTGCAAGCAATGAAGTAGAAGAAAATAATGCTGACCTTCTTGGCCTGCTTTCTTCAAATCAGTTTTGAACCAAGAATAACTAAAACACTGGGCCACTAGTGTTCCAAAAAGCATAAAACTTAATATTAAAATACCAAAAACATATTTTCCTTCATGGGAAAATCTGACAGATATCCAAATGTCCACAATTAAATCAGTTATATAGATTATAATGCCAAGAACTGACATCATAAAATTGCATTTAGTATATTTCATTATGAACAACTATAGCTCTTAGTTATCTACTTTCTTTTCTCATATGAAAAGAAAAAACTGTCAAAGCAAATATTAGCACATCTTTTGGTATAGCACTGAATTTTAATTTCTATTCCCTAAATCCATTTAGAAAAATACTAAGTATTATGAAATGAGAACACAAAATCTGAAATGATTAATTTTAACTTTCTTTTCTAAGTCTTGAAGCCAGGTCCAGTGTTACTCAGTCTTCTCTTTTACAGTGATCTTCATTACAGATGACAACACCTAAAATAAAATAAAACTGTAAGTTTCTAAGAATCTTAAATTTAAAGATTGAACCTTGATTTTACCTATTTTTCTAAGAATAATATATTGCCCCTAAATATAGGTCTTTTAATAGCTTTTAGAAAGCAAAGTCTCAGCAACCACACTACTATTACAATTTCTACCTCACAAACTTGTGGTAAATGCAATCTGTAGACAATATTTGCGTGATTCAAGTGTTTTTGTTTGTGTTCTCAATTGACAAAATTACACACACACACATACACACACACATCTGCTATCAAAAAAAAAAAAAGATCTACACTACCATTTCATGAGCAGTGGCTGCCCATTTCATGTAGTGGGTTCTATGTAGTTCATCACAGTAGCCATTAGGCCCACTTTAGTCATTTCAAAAGCTGCATCTCAGTACTGATGGAGCTACCCACTTGCTCTGTGTCCTTAAGTATTTTCTTTTCTTTCTTATTCATCTAAAATACAGAGATAATAATGTATATACTTTATAGAGTAGTTGTGAAGGTTAAGGAAGATAATATAGATTATATATAACATAGATTCTATAATATAGATTATATAATCTCTATATAACAGATTTCATGTATGTATGTGTGTGTGTATATATATATATATATCCCTAGAAGGGTACTTGACACACAGTTAGAGCTCAAGAAATGTTAGTTATCATTACCTTGCATTTCTGTTATATCTGAGTTTGCAATCCCTGACTTCATTTCATATAATGTGAAGTGAAAAAGTACCATAGCATGATATCTAAGAGAATCCACCAGAAACCAACCCTGATGACACCTTGAAGTTGGACTTAAGCCTCCAGTACTGTGAGAAAAGTAACGTCTGTTGTTTAAATCAAAAAGTCTGTAGTATTCTTTTAGGGAAATCAGAGCAGTTAACATATTATATCATCTATAAAGAACATTTATTACTTGAAAAACCCAGAGGCAAAAGCAATACTAAAATACAAACAAATACCTGCGGTGTTCTTCTCATTCTACCATTTAGTACCATTTTCTTTAAGAGCTTTCTGAATAATATTAAAGGGTATTTCACTCTTCTTACAGATCAAAACAAGTTTCATAGTAACTACTTTTCCTAACAAAGATGCTGTGATCAACAGAATTGAAAAAATAATTTTAAATTTAAATTTTCCTAATCTAGCAGGCCATAAACTTCCCTGCAGTAACTTTCTTGTCTTAATATAAAGGACATCAAGTCCAACAAATACATGGGTTGAGGAAGATGAGACTGATAAAGAGGTCTGTTCAATTGAGCTAATTAGATATTTACTTAGAATCTACTGTGTCACGTTTTTTAGGCTGTTGGGGCAAATCAAGTGATGAAAAAGTCAAAAATCTCTCCCCTTGTGAAAATTACATCCTAACACATAAAGTCACTAACAATAAAAAATAAGTAAATTAAATACAGCAGAAGATGAAAAATGCTATTCAGGAGAAAAACAATCTATTAAGGAAGACCCAGAGTTGGAGTAGAGGTAGGCAGATTATAAGCTACAATCCAAAGGCAGGTCAAGGCCAGACTCATGGAAAAGGAGGCACGTGAGTGGTAGAATTAGCCATATGAATATCAAATGGAAAGTTTTTCACATGGAAACAACAGGTAGATTTCAAGTATATCCTCCAGAAACAGAAGTTCCATAAAATACCGGCAAAGATTTTTTGGCATAGTTATATTGGGTACGTTTAATGCATATCCAAATCCTGTTCCAACAGCATTATTAAAAATGTAACTTTTTAGGATTTACTATCTAAGGAAAAAATTCATATAGAATAGAAGAACAAATAGTGTAAGAGTACCCACCTTTACTAAGTGTTTACTACCATAAGGAATATATTTTGTATTATTTCATTAAATACATTTCTTCACTAAATCCTCACAAATTCCTATGAGAAGGGTATTATTAGTCACATTTTGCTGATAGAATATTGAGGGCTAGAGATATTGGATATTTGGGTGTATTATCTCTAGTGAGTAGAGTCTGTCTGACTCCAACACTTGGATCATAACAATATACTAGACAGTCTATGAAGGGAGAATAAAAAATATTAAAAGCTGCTTGAATACGACACCTGGGCATAGCACCTACAGATTTAAGATAGTCGAAACTATAGTGTATTATTATTCTCTGTATTAAAATAAAAAGGGGAAAGGAATATAGTTAGAATTGCAAAGGATGCAAGGCTAGGCAAAACTTTATAATCTAAAAACATGCTCAGCATAGTAAAACTTGAATAAAATGCAACAGTTCTGCTAAAATTTCATATAAAGTGATTTTAAATGTAAATAACTTCTTTAAAACTACAGACAATGTCTCAGCAATCTGTGGGAAATTTCTTAATCTCTCTGTCCACAAAGAGAACTTCTTTACTTGCCATGAAAAAGTAAAACACCAGCAATTTTATGTCAAGTTCTACAAGATGAGAATTATTTCTAAGAAACAGAAACTGGATTATTGACAGAACATTGAACAGTTTAATCTTATATGACAATGTCCATATTCCTAATTAAATCAGGCAGAACATAACTCCAACCAGAAGAAAATCTACACAGGAAGCTAATAAATACAGCAGTTCTCACAAAGACAGCCTACAAAGGCCAATTAATTATAACATGTTAAAGACAATTTATCTCTACCTCTACATCTGATCACTATTCCAATACCACCTTAGGAAAAGTAAAACCATCACCAAAAAAAAAAAAAAGTAAAAACTATCTACAAAATTTAGCTGCTAAGGGACTTGTTATACTTACTGACTTAACAGGACAATTTCAATTAAATTTTATTCTGAAATCAACCTAGCTATGTACCTACCTGGCTGCCACCCAAAATACATAACCGTTACCCTTATACACGATCTCCCTTCAATAAAAAGAAGGAAAAAAGTATCAACCAAATTTAACCTATAAAAAAATGCAGACTTACTTGTCATTATAAGAAGTCTTCTTTAATTCAAAATCCCTTCTTGAAAATCTTCATCTTGTGAATCTTTTCTTTCTTCTTCACTGAAAATGAGTATAATTATAGAGTGTACAATCCTTTAAGATAGAATACTAAAAAGAAACTGAAATCAGCTGTTAGTCACATGTGGCATTCTCTAATCTAGTGATAACAGTCTGTGTCACTGTAGATGTAATACACCTCTATATAATTACCTCACTGAGGAAAAGAAACAGCCCTTTTAATTGGTTAAATAGATTCCAAGCTTTCACTGTATTTGTCAAGTAAGTCTTAAGAAAATATCACAGCATATCAAAGCATGTCCAAGTGAATAACAAGCCACGTTTGTCAAGTATTCACAGATTCTTAAATTTGAAATACTCTGATAAAGAATTTACAAAGTATCATTAACTTAGCCCTTGTTGTGGTTTATATCTGGATGTCCCCCAAAGCCTTTTTTTTTCTTTTGAGACAGGGTCTCACTATGCGGTTCAGG